TGCCCTTGGCACGGACGTCCTTGAGGACAGGCAGGAGGAGTTCCAGTGTCTGGCTGCTGCTTCACCTCAACTCTTGTCCGTACTGCTTACCCCTTAGGGAGGCCCGGATGAACTTTACATCCCGACTCCGCGCTCTTACGCGGAGGCGATAGAGGGTCCCTACTCCACTCAGTGGCAGGCAGCTATGGACACAGAGATGGCTTCCTAGAAGTCCACAGGCACCAATTTTGACGAGGTTCCCCCGCCTAGGGCGAACATCGTCAGTGGCATGTGGATTTTTAGGGTGAAGCGGCCGCCGGGTTCTCCGCCTGTCTTCAAGGCGCGTTACGTGGCTCGTGGCTTCAGTCAGCGTCAGGGAGTTGACTACTTTCAGACCTTCTCTCCCACCTCGAAGATGACCACTCTTCGGGTACTGCTGCACATAGCTGCTCACCGCGACTACGAGCTGCACTCTCTTGACTTCAGCACTGCTTTCTTGCAGGGCAGCCTGCACGAGGAGATCTGGTTGCGTCGCCCACCTCGCTTCACTGGGTCTTTTCCTCCTGGCACCTAGTGGAGCCTCCGGCGGCCAGTCTACAATCTCCGCCAGGCACCGCGTGAGTGGCACGACACACTGAGGACTACACTTGCGGCTCCTGGGTTTGCTCCCTCTACTGCTGACCCGTCGCTGTTTCTGCGCACCGACACTTCTTTGCCGCCGTTCTACATCCTCGTGTACGTCGACGACTTGGTCTTTGCCACAGCTCACACTGCTGGACTCGCCCACGTGAAGTCTGAGCTGCAGAAGAGACACACGTGCACAGACCTGGGTGAACTGCGCAGCTACCTTGGCTTGCAGATCACCCGGGACAGAGCACGCCGCACCATCACCCTGACTCAGTCACACATGGTGCAGCAGGTCCTTCAGCGCTTCGGCTTCACGTACTCCTCGCCTCGGGCCACTCCTCTGCCTACTCGCCACTCGCTCTCAGCTCTGCCTTCGGATGAGTCCGTAGAGTCGAGTGGCCCGTACCCAGAGCTTGTTGGCTGCCTCATGTACCTGATGACCTGCACACGACCTGACCTTGCATACCCTCTTAGCATTCTAGCACGCTATGTTGCTCCTAGGCGACACAGACCGGAGCACATGGCTGCAGCGAAGAGGGTGTTGCGCTACTTGTGCAGTACGTCGGGTTTGGGGCTTGTGCTTGGAGGGCAGAGTCCAGTGGTCCTCACAGGTCACGCAGACGCTTCTTGGGCTGACGACCAGGCTACGCAGCGGTCGTGACAGGGTTACACCTTCAGCCTTGGTTCCGGCTCTGTCTCATGGCGGGCTACCCGCTCGTCTTCTGTTCTCAGCTCCAGTTGTGAGGCTGAGATCTACGCAGGAGCCATGGCTTCTCAGGAGCTTCGCTGGCTCACCTACCTGCAGACTGACCTCGGAGAGCCGCCTCGTTCTCCTCCAGTGCTGTACGTAGACAACAAGGCCATGCTGGCCTTGTGTCGAGAGCAGAGACGGGAGCACAGAACGAAGCACATTGCTCTCTGCTACTTCCTTGCTCGTGAGCTACAGCAACGTGGTCAGCTGCGGCTTGCGTACGTGGCCTCTGAGGCCAACACTGCTGATATCTTCACCAAGGCACTTGCGCCTTGTGATCATCAGCGCTTCTGTACTCAGCTGGGTCTTGTGCCGACCTTGCCTCACTTGCTCACCCCTTGACCTTGTTTGTACTGTTACATATGTATATATATTAACACCTGCTCTTGCTTGTCTAGCCTTATATATATATGTAATCCTGCATGTGAACTGGCCTTGTGGCCTTGAACTTGTGCTCGGAATGTGTGGTGACTTTGTGATCCACCCTGAGCTTGCTTTGCTTTGCTTGACTCGTCTTGTGACCCCTTGTTCTCCCCCACTTTGCCCATAGGGATGTGGCAGACATATATGACATAGCTACTGTATGCTATAGTGGGGTAGCAAATATGGGGTACATCTTTCTAGGGTTTGTACTTGTACCCAACTTTCCGTTAGTCATTTTCATTCCTCGTTTCTTCTCATTGCGGAGGTGCGTAATGAGGTCAGCGACTGTGGGAAAGGCAGCAAGGTCAGGGAAGAGGAATGGTAGCATAAGGCGGCTCAGTGCAGCACTGGCAGGGGAGGAGTAGCGTGCAACTACAGCGTCGTACAAGGTCTGAGCACTCTTGTACTGGCTAAAGTGTGCACGCTCAGTGGTCGGTAAGTGGCGACGCACAGCAAGACGGGCAGCAGCATCGCGTGTCGCCCACTGTGAGCGAACAGTGCTGTCAGCAGTAGCAGGCGGGGTAGGGGAGGCTCCAGAGGTGAGGTCGAACAGAGAGAGGCCGTCTGCCCTATCGCACTGGAGGAACAGCTTGAGGTCATCGACCCAGACCTCAAAGTCACACCACGGCCCTCAGTGTCAAAGGTAAGAACACTGGGGGTAGCCATGACTGCAGAGGTCTAGCAAGGAGTGGGCTCACCAGTACGAGTAAGTAGGGCCGGGGCGCGTCGGTAGGACTGGTAGCGGCTCAGTGGCTCGGCTGCTGGGTGGCTCGGCGATCGGGCGGCTCGGCGGGTCGGCTGCTGGGCGGCTCGGCGGCTCGGCTACTGGGCGGCTCGGCTGTCGGGCGGCTCGGCGGCTAGGCGGCTCGGCTGCTGGGCGGCTCGGCGGCTCGGCTGCTGGGCGGCTCGGCTGTCGGGCGGCTTGGCGGCTAGGCGGCTCGGCTGCTGGGTGGCTCGGCGGCTCTGTTGCTGGGCGGCTCGGCGGCTCTGCTGCTGGGCGGCTCGGCGGCTCTGCTGCTGGGCGGCTCGGTAGAGGCGGCGTCGAGGCCGCGTAGGAGGCGGCGTCGGGGCCGCTTAGGGCGGCGACAGGGCCGAGATAGGGCGGCGACGGGGCCGCGAGAGGGCGGCGATGGGGCCGCGATAAGGCGGCGACGAGGCCGCTGAGGGCGGCGCGACGGGCCGCTAGGAGGGTGGCGACGGGGTCGCGAGGGGCCGTGAGAGAGGGGGAGGGCCGCTAAGGGCGGCGCGACGGGTCGCTAAGGGGAGGGCGGCACACAGGGCGCGCCTCGGTCAAGGGCGACTTGATCTCAGGGCAGGAAAAAAAAATCGATGTTCAGTGGTGGGCCCTAGGAAGTTCCCACTAGGGAACCTGCTCTATACCATGTGAGAATTGAGGAATGAATGAACTAGCAAGCAGGTGGGTACAAGTAGGAAAACCTAGAAGTGTTGTACCCCATATTGTCTACCCCACTACAGCCTACACAGACTATAGCATAAGAGTTTGACAGCTAGTCATTCCTGCCACCCAAAATTCAGAGCGCAAAATTCACTCCGAAATTGAGGGGTACCCCGAGGTCACTCTCGCGGGGTTACCCACAAGTTCCTTGCAAGTGCCCTCGAGGATACCTCGAGCAATTGCAACGTCAGCAACTCTAGCAGAATCCGCCGCGCACATTCGTAAGAAACAAGATTCGACGTTTACGTTGGATGGGTTGCGTAGAGTTGTATCCTCGTACAAGAAACATTATGATGGTGAATATAAAAATTTACTGATGTAAAGCAAATTAGAATGTTTATTATATTTGGTTAAAATGGAATAAGCTTCAAATTTCCTATTTTGCTGCTTTCAGCAGATATGCTGTTTTATTTTTACTCAGTGATTCTTCTGTGTATTAACAGAGAACTATTTGGATGTGATTTTTTTTTATGTTTATAATAGACATTTTTTATATCCATCTTACTGTGTTGCGCATACAAATTACTATAGTGGGAAGCAGTGTATTTTTTTCCTCACACCTGTCTGCTCGAATTCGACTTTCGTCTCCTTGGTTCTTGTTCCTTGGTTCTTGCTTGCTTCTTGGTTCTTGCTTCTTGGTTCTCCCTCCAAATCCGCTCATTCCCGCCCAATCCTGCAGTCGCGCCTTACCTACCGTCTAGCTGTCCCTTACTCCTTTCCGTCCCTCTCCCTCTCACCCCGCCGTCGCGCTCTCTCCCACCCCGCCATCGCGTCTCTCTCCCTCCTAGCCGCCGTCTCCGCTCCCTCCCATCCCGCCATCGCCCCTCCATCCTTTCCAGCCGCCGTCGCTGCTCCCTCCCATCCCGCCGCCGCCTCTCCCTCCTCCCGCCGCCGCCTCTCCCTCCTCCCGCCACCGCCTCTCCCTCCTCCCGCCGTCGCCCCTCCCTCCTCCCCGCCGTCGCCTCTCCTCCTCCCCGCCATCGCCTCTCCCTCCTCTCCGCCGTCGCCTCTCCCTCCTCTCCGCCGTCCCCTCTCCCTCCTCTCCGCCGTCGCCTCTCCCTCCTCCCCGCCGTCGCCTCTCCTCTCCCTGCCGTCGCCTCTCCTTCCTCCCCGCCGTCGCCTCTCCTTCCCTCCCTGCCGTCGCCTCTCCTTCCTCCCCGCCGTCGCCTCTCCTTCCCTCCCCGCTGTCGCCTCTCCTTCCCTTCCCGCCGTCGCCTCTCCTTCCCTTCCCGCCGTCGCCTCTCCTTCCCTCCCCGCCGTCGCTCTTCTTCCCTCCCCGCCGTCGCCTCTCCTTCCCTCCCCGCCGTCGCCTCTCCTTCCCTCCCCGCCGTCGCCTCTCCTTCCCTCCCCGCCGTCGCCTCTCCTTCCCTCCCCGCCATCGCCTCCGGCGAGTGCACGAGCGCAAGCGCGGGTAGGTGCGCCAGCGCGGGTTGTTTTCTGAGGCACCGTGGTTATCAGGTGCGTTCCCGGTCCTTTCATCCTCCTTCCCCCTCTGAATTTCCCTTGTTTTTTGCCCTGTGTCAATTGGTCTCCTCTTGCATTGCACTTTCATCTGACGAAGGGGAGAGACCAAGCGCAAGGGAGAGCGTGTGCACGGGAGCGAACGCGCAGGAGAGAGCGAAGGAGAGAGCGCAGGAGAGAGCGCGCGAGAGAGCGTGCGAGCGAACGCGTGAGAGAGCGCGTGAGTGTGCGAGTGAGAGAGCGCGTGAGGGTGCGCGTGAGGGTGCGCATGAGAGAGCGCATGAGAGCGCGTGAGGGTGCGCATTAGAGAGCGTGTGAGAGAGTGCGGGAGAGGGTGCGAGGGAGCGCGCGAGAGAACGCGTGAGAGAGGGCGTGAGAGAGCGCGTGAGAGAGCGCATGAGAGAGCGCGTTAGGGTGTGCATGAGAGAGCGCATGAGAGTGCGTGAGGGTGCGCATTAGAGAGTGTGTGAGAGAGCGTGTGAGAGAGCGTGTGAGAGAGAGCGTGAGAGAGGCGTGAGGTTGCGTATGAGAGAGCATGTGAGAGAGCGCGTGTGAGAGCATGAGAGAGCGCGTGAGAGAGTGCGTGAGGGTGCGCGTGAGGGTGCCCGTGAGAGAGCGCGTGAGAGAGCGCATGAGAGAGCGCGTGAGAAAGCGTGTGAGGTTGCGTATGAGAGAGCATGTGAGAGAGCGCGTGTTAGAGCGTGAGAGAGCTCGTGAGAGAGCGCGTGAGGGTGTGCGTGAGGTGCGCGTGAGTGAGTGTGTGAGAGAAGCGCGTGAGAGAGCGCATGAGAGAGCACGTGTTAGAGCGTGAGAGTGCGCGTGAGAGTGTGCGTGAGAGAGCGCGTGAGAGAGCGCGTGAGTGAGTGCGTGAGAGAGAGAGAATGCGCGTGAGAGTGCGCGAGAGAGAATGCGCGTGAGGGTGTGCCTGAGAGCGCGTGTGAGAGAGCGCGTGAGAGAGCGCGTGAGAGAGCGCGTGAGTGTGCACGTGAGAGAGCGCGTGAGAGAGCGCATAAGGGTGCGCGTGAGGGTGCGCGTGAGAGAGCGCGTGAGAGAGCGCGTGAGGGAGCGCGTGTGAGAGCGTGAGAGTGCGCATGAGAGTGTGCATGAGAGAGCGCGTGCGAGAGCGCGTGAGTGAGCGAGTGGAAAAGCACGTGAGAGAGAGAATGCGCGTGAGAGAGCGCGTGAGAGAGCGCGTGAGAGAGCGCGTGAGAGAGTGCGTGAGAGAGCGCGTGAAAGAGCGCGTAAGAGAGTGCGTGAGAGAGTGCGTGAGAGAGCGCGTGAAAGAGCGCGTGAGAGAGCTCGTGAAAGAGCGAATGAGCATGCTGGGGCATAGGCACTAGCATCTATTCTGCTGGTGCTTGGGCAACTGGGGCTACTTATACAAATGAGTGTCGATTATTGCACTAGCGCTTAGAGTGCCGGCTAAGGTGTCGACGCCTCAGACGCTCGTCTAGGCCACTGGCAACTAGCGAGCTAGTGCCAAGCACGCTCTAACGCTTGGGCGATGGCATGGCACCTAATGTGCCGCGCTTGAAGCGCTAGCGTTATGGCCTTTGGCCTTTGGCTTTCTTGTACAGTGTGTGATCACAAACTGTTTTTTTGGGCAAGGTGTGCTGTTGCTTTCTTTGTTTTGGCTTTCTTGTGCAGGGCGTGTAGATGTTTACTTCTCTGTTTTTGCTTTGTGCAGGGCGTGTTTGTATTGACTTCTCTGTTTTTGCTTTGTGCAGGGCGTGTGTGTGTTGACTTCTCTATTTTTGCTTTGTGCAGGGCATATGTGTGTTGACTTCTCTGTTTTTGCTTTGTGCAGGGCACATGAGCTGAGAAGGGAGATGAGGGAGGGAGTGGGATGGAGATGAGGGAAGGAGGGAGGGAGGGTTGTAAGGAGGGTTACGTGGGATAGGCTAGCAGTTATTTATGCGTTTCTGAATTTTATTCATGACGGTTGCGTGTTTATTGCGGTCTCTGTATCTATCTGTGGTTGTTTGCATGTGTGTCAGTGTGTGAGAATGCTTATGCGTGTGTGTACGTGCGCGTGTGAGCTTGTGTGTGCGATGTGTGCGTTTGTCTGTTTGCACCTGTCTGTCTCGTGTGTGCAACTGACGTGTGATGCTTAAGTGTGTCGGGTCTACATTTGAGGTGGGGGTCGTTGTTGGGGCAGCGTTGCTCGCCTTAGCATACCGAAACCATCTCTGTTGTAGCACCGATGCATCTTAGCATTCACTCGCTATTGTTATGTGCTGTTTTTGCACGTGTTATGCAACTGAGGTGTGATGTTTAAGTGTGTCGGTTCTGCATTTGAGGTGGGGATCGTTGTTGGGGCAGCGTTGCTTGCCTTAGCATACCGGAACCATCTCTGTTGTAGCACCGATGCATTTTAGCCAGGGCCTCAGATTCACTTTTAGGGTCGTCGACCCATCAGGGTACCCTTGTGTATAAACCCTGATTGACAGTGTTTCTTAAAAAAAAAAACCTGAAATATCAGGGTTCCCTTTGAAAAAAGGCTGATGTATCAGTGTTCAAAAATATAAAAGGTTGTTAATTACTAGAAACCTCTACTTCAAATACTAAGTCAGTAGCAGCCGTGTTATTATCACTGCCTTTGGCTTCTCTCCTCTCCTCAGCTTGGGACACCAGTACGTGACAGTGCTCTGCCGCAGCACACACATACACGTTGAAGCTGCAGGGGCAGGGTGTGGAGGAGGAACCGGATTGACAGGCAGGGTGAGGCAGGGAAAGAGAGAACAGGAGGGAGAGAGGGGGGAAGATTGGCACAGTTGGGGGGGAGACGACTGGGGGAGAGATGGAGTGCACGGAGTGCGGGGCAAAGGGAGCAGAGGAATGGACGGCGGGCGCGCGGGTCATGCGCGGATCATGTCGTCGCGCAGCACGACGATCTGCGCACCGCACGCGGTGCAGATGGCCTTTTCAACCGCGGTTCGTGCTGGCGACGAGGCAGCCTTCGGTTGCCGCCATTAGCACGAAAAACTACGCGTCGTCGAGTCCTAGCGGGCCTGCGACGCCGACGGGAATTGCCACGTGGTCTACGACCATCTAGCAGAATGCACTGCGGATCGCGTCGAACGAGAGCGATGTGTTCGGTGAGACAAGAGGAGATTCGGCGGCGCTTGCGATGGGTTCGATTCCCGACAGCCCGCCCTTTCTGGTGCTGATGGCGCCATGAATTAGTGCAGACGAGAAAGCAAGAGAGGAATCAGGCTGAGAGGGAGAGGGAGAGAAACAGGAGGAAAAGAAACAAGAGATTGGGTTGGAGGGAATGGGAGCATCAGTGCTTGCTGGTGCAGGAACCCTCGCAGCCCTCCAGCACAACATGGTTGCCACATCCTGATTAGCTATCACTTCATGCTACAGCGTTACTGCCCAATGAAGTGCTGGCACCGCAGGAATATGAGATTCCCTGTTTTGCGGGCAAATGCACACGGAACAAGTAAGAATTGCTTTCAGTGTTAGTTTCGTTACAACGCCGTAGAATCAGTGTACTTGGGAAACGAAAGTCTGAAATTTCAGTGTGGCCTAACAAAAAAGGCTGAAAGATCAGCCCCACAAAAATCTCAACGCTGATTTTTCAGTGTAGGTAAAAAAAGGGCTGCCAAAATCAGGAATTTCAGGGTTTTTTTCCTGATATCTGAGGCCCTGATTTTAGCATTCACTCGCAGTTGTTATGTGCAGCTTTTGCTCGTGTTGAATGGATGCACATGATTTGCATTCATGACCAGTGGGTGTTTTTCTCGTCCATTGTGTTTGATGACGACGACCAATTGTTCCATTCGCCGTATTTATCGACGATTATGGAATGATAGGTCACATTTGGTCACACTTTTTTGGAAACTCATGTGTATCAGAGCTGTCATCTCCACACATTTGGAACACTCGTTGTCAAAACGTTCAAACGAGTGGTTCGGACGCTGTGAAAATGACAAAAACTGCACTGTTCATTCGAGTCGACCGAAAAGTGCTACCAAATGTATAGGGTTGCTACGCAACCCAAAAAACTGACCAGTCAGGAGGCAGATCAGTTCGTTGGGATACCCCGAGGGTACCCACCTGTCAAATGTTGTAGCCTGTAGTGAGGTTTGTCTTAGGGGGTACAGAAGTTAGGGTTTGTTATATGTACCCCAACCAACATCAATGGCATCATCATTCCTCATTTTGACATGGTATCAGCTAGGTTAGGATCCTGTGGGATCCCGTTCCTCCGTTCTGCGTTCGTCCCTCCCGAGCCTGATCCTACCTCTCGTTCGTACCGGTTCCGTTGTTACCGCGCCTAGTACCGAGCCTAGCGCCCTCTCCCCCGTCGCTTAGCGCCCTTTCTCCTCGTTGCCTAGCGCCCTTTCCCCCCCCCCCCCGTCGCGTCGCGCCCTTTCCCCCCGTCGCCTAGCGCTCTTTCCCCCCGTCGCGTCGCGCCCGTTCCCCCCGTCACGTCGTGCCCGCCCTTTCCCCCCCCGTCCCGTCGCCCTGTCCCGTCGCGTCGCCCTGCCCCGTCCCGTCGCCCTGCCCCGTCGCGTCGCCCTGCCCCGTCCCGTCACCCTGCCCCGTCGCGTCGCCCTGCCCCGTCGCGTCGCCCTGCCCCGTCCCGTCACCCTGCCCCATCGCGCCGCCCTGCCCCGTCGCGTCGCCCTGTCCCGTCCCTACGCCCTGGCCCGTCGCCCTACCCTACGCCCTGGCCCGTCGCCCTACCCTACGCCCTGGCCCGTCGCCCTACCCTACGCCCTGGCCCGTCGCCCTACCCTACGCCCTGGCCCGTCGCCCTACCCTACGCCCTGGCCCGTCGCCCTACCCTACGCCCTGGCCCGTCGCCCTACCCTACGCCCTAGCCCGTCGCCCTACCCTACGCCCTGGCCCGTCGCCCTAGCCCGCTCTTCCGCTGCGACTGAGTCCCCTTCCCACCTGAACCCTAATTTGCCTCTTCTCCCCGGTTGTTACTCGCCTGTTCGTTCGCGTTAGTTCTCACTATGGCGACTCCGCGAGTTCTTCGTTTCGACGCTGACGGTAGACCACTTGACTTTTCCGTCTGGCTTCTTCGCGCTCGCCGTCTGTTAGAGAGTCAGGTCCAGGGGGGCGAGACCCTCTGGTCGCACGCTACTGGTGACCTCCCCGAGCCCCCCGAGCCTACAGCTTTAGGCTCTGCCCCTGACGACGCTGCTACGGCTCGCTTTGCCCGTCAGCGCGCTGACCGGACGGCTTGGACGTCGCGTGACGCTGCGGCCTGCATCGCACTCAGCAGCCTCCTCCCTGAGTCAGAGGAGGTCCACTTTACTCAGGTTCGCACCGCTGCTGCGTATCTCACTGCGATTAAGGCCCGCTACTCTACTCCCGCTACTGTCTCTCTTGGCCGTCTTTTCCTCCCGTTCCTGTTTCCTGATCTCGCCTCGTTTGAGCGCTCTGCTGACTTGATCGCTCACCTCCGCTCGCTCGACGCTAGTTACCGCGCTGCTTGCACTGAGGCACAGCTTGCACTGCTTCCTCCCCCCATGACGATTACTGTCTATTTCATCGCCACTAGCCTCCCTGACCGCCTAGCCTCCGTTCGTGACGCGCTTCTGCTGAAGCACCCTAGTGAGCTGACTATCGAGGTCCTTGAGTCTGCACTCAAGGACGTCGAGAGCAACCTTCGCTCGGTAGCTGCCGCCTCTGGTACTGTGTCCCCCCCACTCTTCCACGGGTGCACAGTCCCGCAGTTACCCACCTTCAGTGCCTCTCTCGCCACTGCCGCTACTGACGCGACTGCGGCTGCTGTTACGACTGCGTCGCGGTCCCGCGGCAAGGGGGGCAAGAAAGGTAGTTCTGGTGGAGGTGGAGGTGGAGGTAGCGGAGGTAGTGGGGGTGCTGTTGCGACTGGCGGTGGTGGGAGTGCAGCGTCTGGAGAGACCCCTCGTGCAGCGGCTGGTGACTCCACTGCGCCTGCTGGTGGCGGCGACCCCCGAGCTCGTCAATCGCCTCCTGTACTGCCGACCCCGCTAGGTGGAGCAGCGGCGTGGTACCAGGCTCAGCGTCAGCAGCACCTTCAGCAGCAGCAGCAGCCCCTTTCCTCCCGCCAGCCTCAGCAGCAGCAGCGTCAGCAGCTGGCTCCGGGGTCGGGGCTGCGTCAGCCCCAGCGCGGTGCTTCTTACCCTCCCTGCACCTATCAGGTTCTGACAGGTCCTCGTCGGGGCCACCCTTGTGGCCGCTTTCACCCCCCTGGTCAGTGCTTTGCTCAGCTCACTGACACGGTCCGGTTGGCCTACGGGGTTGGCGGTCCTGCTCTTGACTGGCTTCCTCTGGTTCAGCGCTACGGCTCCGCTCTGTGGGGCATGTCTGCTGAGCAGTTAGTTGATCTGATTGGTGCTCCTCATGCTATGTATGCTGTTGTTGACTCTAGTGTTTCTGACTCTGTTTACTCTGGTGTTGTTAGCTTAGGTGCTAGTCTTGCTCAGTTGCCTGTTGCTAGTGTAGGTTCTTGTGTAGACTCTAGACCAGCGACTACCTCAGAGGACGCTTCGCTGTCGTTCACGCTGGACTCTGGAGCCTCACACTGCTTCTTCCGGGACAGCACGACACTTACACCACTTCCTGTGCCTGTTTCTGTGGCTTTGGCTGATCCCACTACGGGACCAGTCACTGCACGTCACACTACCACTTTACCGTGTCCTGCTGCTCCCTCCGGGTCTCTCACTGGGTTTCACGTCCCCTCGTTCTCCCGGAACTTGGTGGGCGTGCGACCCCTCGTGAGTCAGCACGTGGGTGTGTGGTTTGAGCCTTCTGGAGAGACTGCGGTGTGTGTTGACGGAGACTCTTACCAGCCTCTTGCTACCTTTACTGCTGAGCCGGGCTCAGGTCTCTACACTCTTCACACTGGCCCGCGTGCGCCGCAGCAGCAGCCGCAGAAGCAGCAGCAGCCGCAGCCGCAGCAGCAGCAGCAGCATCAGCTGCACCAGCGGTCGCACCAGCAACCGCCCCTACTGCCACTGCCCCCGGTTCCCCCCCCCGTTCGGGTCCTTGCGTCTCACCAGGTTGCTTCGTCCCCCCAGGTGTCTGTGTCGTGTCAGGTTCCTACGTCTGCTCCAGTCGCTGCGTCGTGCTCCTGCCGGTCGCTTGCCCACCCCACCGTTCTGTGGCACCACCGGATGGGGCACCCGTCCCTTCCTCGTCTGCGCGCTATGTCTAGTCAGCGTCTTGTCCTAGGCCTCCCACGTGTCTTGCCGTCGCTGCCGCCTTCGCTTGCGCCGCCGTGTGGTCCCTGCGTCGAGGGTCGGCTGCGCGCCGCCCCTCACTCCTCCTCCCTTCGTCCGGCCACCGAGCCTTTTGAGACGCTTCACTTGGACGTCTGGGGCCCCGCCCCTCGTCTAGGCCCTGAGCGTGAGCGCTACTTTCTGGTGGTCGTTGACGACTTCTCCCACTACACCACAGTGTTCCCTCTGGCGAAGAAGTCTGAGGTGACTTCTACGTTGATCAGGTGGTTGCTCACCACCGAGGACACTCGTGGTCGTCGTGTCAGCTGCCTCCACTCCGACCGTGGGGGTGAGTTTCGCTCCGGCATTCTCGCTGGATTCTGTCGCGAGCAGGGCATTCGTCAGTCCTGGACGCTTCCAGAGTCCCCACAGCAGAATGGGGTTGCTGAGCGCCGCATAGGCCTGGTCATGGAGATCGCCCGCACCTCCTTGACTCACGCCTGTGCCCCCCATTTTCTGTGGCCCTACGCGGTCAGGTACGCCGCGCACCAGCTGAACCTCTGGCCACGTGTCTCTCGACCAGAGGTTTCACCGACCAGTCTTTGGACAGGGTCCCCTGGTGTTGCGTCGCGGTTTCGTGTCTGGGGGTGCTTGGCTCTTGTCCGCGACACCTCCGCGGACAAGCTCTCGCCTCGT